CTAATCCTGAGAGGAGGAATCAGGGCCAAAAGGGGTTGTTTCCAATGCCTCTGAATGGTTGGTGATGAATCTTTCATGTAACTGAAGTGCAGACTGATTGGAATATGCTGCAGACAATTTACGAGAGTGAATCGTGTTTTTCTTCAGATGGAGTTTCAGGACGTGACCAGCTCTTGGCTCAGCAAAGAATGCACAGTATGATCAGCTCAGGTAAGAGACTTTTCTCAGATTCAGTTTCTGGATCTGATATATAATGTATCTCAGCATAATAATAAGTGGTTTAGATCTGGATGCGTTCTCTTATATATATATATATAGCCTGTTCAGTGAAAAGCTCTACAGTACTATTCTCCCCCCCCCCCCCGGCTCATCCCCCTTCTATTTGTGGTTTATTTTTCTAGCTCTTTTGGCAGTGCTGACTCCCAAATGGAATAAAAAGTAATTTGAATTTCCCTTTTGTAATTTTCCTTTCTTGTATGTGATGGCTTTGTTGGGATGGTTAAAGAATTGTAACAGGAGACAAGCATGTAAGCTTCTTAGGCTGCACTTCCCAATGCATATAGGCTGTGATCTTATACCTGCTTACCTTGAACCAAGCCCCATTGTGCCTAGTGGGACTTACTTCTGAGTATTGCACTATAGAGAGCTTTCCAAATCAGTGAGGTTTACAATGTATTTGGATTTTGGGTGTTAACTTGCACTCAGTAGTGTTTTCTTGAACAGGCTCAGACTCTTATTATGGTTATGAGGTCTTTTTCAGCCCTTCTTTAGATGGAATTGGCAAACAGGCAGCAAATGTTTTCTGTGATGTTACCTCTGAAAGTCTTACATTATGAATGATGCCTGTTACCATGCTTTTATGATTCCCTCGTGGTGTCTTGTAAGATTATTCTCAAATTCATTTGTTTATGCCAGATTTGCAGTTCATTTCTATTACTTGAATCATTTTTCAGATTGTTGAAGTGAAAGCTAAAGATGATGACTCATTAAAGGTGCCTAAGGAACAGGTGTTTTAAAGATGCAGTTACAGAACTGTTGAAACTGCCTCCAGATTTAGAAGCTTTCCTGGCTTCAGTGATAATCTGTCTGCATGGTTTGTGAAAATTACGTAGAAGATCTGTAAGAATATGTGTATCTGTGTTTCGTATTTCAGACAACTTAATAAACTAATAAATGGCCAAAGTATGAGAACCATTCCTTGTTTGGTACCATATGAATCTGTATGGTTCTTCTATTAAGCCATAATGATGTTATCTCTTTCATGCCATAGCTCCAGTTCTTCCTTTCTTTTTAAACTGCATATGGCTTCATTCATGCCAAATGTCTGATTAATTGCATAGCCTTGTTCAAAATGTCAAAATTTTCACAAGTGTAATGTTCTCAGGCAGAGGGAAAGAAGTTTTGTTGACACACTGTCTATTACAAAGTCCGTACACCCAAGGCACCTGTTGATCCCTGAATGATTTTAAAATGAAGCATGCCTCATCATCTCTCATCTTTCCTGCTTAATAGGTAAAAGCAAGAATTAGTATGGAATCACAAGTAGTTAGCTTCAATCAGCTATTTAAATGAGTGTAGTAGAAAGCAGAATATAGTAAGAACTTTAAAATCTGATATCTTTTCTGTGTGTATTGGCTGTGGAGGCTTAAACTATCATGATGCAATTTTTTAAAAGAACAGATGAACATTCTGCACATGTAATAAATTCATAACTGTAATAAATTCATAACTGATTCCCCCCCCATCATCATTGCATCTCTGTGCTAGGAAAGAGTACATTTGTTGATTTTTGTCTGCTATGTCTCCTGTGTCAATGGCACAGGATCTCAGGCCATATGACAGTGCAAGACACAACGTATGTCAGCCCCCAAACTATTCTTGCTTGTAGATGTAGTGTATACATAAGACAACTGAGTTTATACCCTTTCCCTCTCATCTTCCAAAACTATGGTGAATCTGCATTCTTATGTAAATAGTAAGTAACTGAGGAAGAAATAAATAGGCATGGAGAGAGTCGGCTTTTCCAAATACAGTATAAATTGGTTCCATGTGGATTTGGTGATGTGGGTTTTTTGTGTGTGTTTGTTTTGGGGTAAATGTACCTGTCATTCTCCTGCAGGCATAGTAAGCCTTTTACCTGAGAATAAATCCCTTTGAACCTCATGGAGCTCCATTCTGAGAAAACATGCAAGGCTTATCATGTAGCTCTGATTCTTAACTGATATATAGAAGAAGGGATTTTGTCAGGTCCAGTTTCCTACAGTCATTTATACTGTAATGTGTGAAGTTCCATCATTGATACAGTTAAGAATTCAAGAGCCCTAATGCTGAAAAATGTGGCTCATATTGTTCTGCATTTATTTTCAGCTGCTGTAACAACTACTGGTCCAACTCCTGGCATTCCTCACTTCTGGATATGCTGGCTCTGGGGTATGGTAGTTGCGGTCCAGCAAGATCTGGAGGGTCACACTTTGTCCACTCTCCATTTAAAGTTCCAGGCTCTGGTTTCAATTATATGTTCCATTGTGAAGTTTATGGTAGGCTCTCAGATCATGTATTTAAGAAGTTATTACAGTAGAGGAGGAAGGACATATAAAATGAGGAAGAGATCAAAACAGTAAGAGGGTCTGAGAAAGAGAAATACAGTACTGGAAGTGGGCAAAGTAGGAATGCTAGAAAGTGTAATAATGAATATAGATCTAAATCTTTGCCATCCTCATCCTCACATATGAGGACATAGAATTGCAAAATTATTCACTGTTAAGAGAGCGAGATAATTTGTTGCACGCTCAAAAGGTGAACAAGATCCCCCCTTTCAGTTATGTAAAATTA